CCGCCGGTTTTACTTTTTTTCTGATTCTCTCCCCCGTCCTGCCGGGGGCAGGGAGGATGAGTGAGTGGCTGTGTGGCGCTTTGTTGCCGACTGGCGTTAAACAACAGCCCTTTTTGGCGCCTAATGTGGGGCTTGAAGGGTTGAGATCTGACCAGAATGTGTTAAAACAAATTTGTTATAAGCATTCATTATATTAGTTTAGTAATCGCTGGTCACAATGTAGATTTACTTGTTCTCAGCATTGTGGTATTTGCTCTGAGAGTTGTGTTCTGTAACACCTTACTTGCCATAGGTACTGTTCGTCAGTACATATGTGCTGTTTAACACTTTGGAGAGATGGATTAAGGTTGTCGCTTTGCCGTACTGGGTAACACTGGCTTATGGTATGATAAAATTATTGGTCATGAGATCAATCTCGTATTTGTACTCAGCATTGCCGTCACCTCTGTGCTTCGGGAGCCATCTATTGGAAATTATTAGTAATTACACTTTTTACTTTTTCTCCTCGGAGAGCCAGCTTATGGGGGAGACACCTTCCTCCATCTTCCCCTTCTTCTCCAGGCTAATTACAATAGCTCTTGAGAATTTTGAATATCCTTGGGATGTTCAAACCAGCATGTTCCTGTTACTATATCTCCTGAATGTGTGTCAGGTCTCGCGTAGGGTTAAACAACTCTTTAAAAATACCATCCAGAGATCTACCCCCAGTGCCAGGCACTGCAGCTGAACCAGAGAATCAATGTGTGCCGGTATCAGTTGCCCCTATACACAAGAAGAAATTTTGGAAGTGAAAGTCAACTGGTTTGTAAAGGGATGATTAAGAAACAGGGCCATCACAAGGAGAGGAGGAGGAAGAGGAACGCATAAACGAGATGGAAACCACCCAATCCCTATCCTTGAGTGAGCTGCGAGATAAGCGAAAAGATTTCGGCTGTCATTCAGGTGAGCACATTGTCACCTGGCTGCTCCAGTGCTGGGATAATGGGGCCAGCAGCCTGGAATTAGAGGGTAAGGAAGCCAAACAGCTGGGATCCCTTTCTAGCAAAGGGGGCATTGACAAAGTGGTTGGAGAAGGGGCACAAGGCCTCAGCCTCTGGAGGTGATTACTGTCAGGTATGAAGGAAAGGTATCCCTTCAAGGAAGATGTTATATATTGCCCAGGCAAATGGACCACCATGGAGAGAGGTGTCCAGTACCTGAGGGAATTAGCCATACTGGAGGTGATTTATGGTGACCTGAACAACGAGTGGTTATCCAAAGATCCAAATGAAGTCAAGTGCACACGACCCACGTGGTGGAAGTTGGTGCGGAGCACAGCAGCATCATATGCCAACTTGTTGGCAATACTGACCTGGAAAG